TTTTATCTAATGTATTGACTATTATATCATGTTTTCTAATTTTTTTTTAAGCTCTGCATAGTCTTGTATGGATATTTTATCTAATGTATTGACTATTATATCATGTTTTTTAATTTTTTTAAGCTCTGCATAGTCTTGTATGGATATTTTATCTAATGTATTGACTATTATATCATGTTTTTTTTTTAACTCAGAATGTTTTAATTTCAAGTTACATATACACCATAGGCTTTATAATGGATATAAAAACACAAATACTGTTTTCCTTGGAACAACTGCTATTTTTAAACACATGTAACAGGATTATTATCAGATATATACATAACCATAGAGGCTTTTCCTAACTCTGAGCAATTACTTAAAATTGTGAAAAATCTGAATATGTATTTTTTGGTTATAAAAGCAGCAATAATATGATTAGCAAGTTCCTCTACACACTATACCTAATATTTCTTCTTGAAAAGAAAGAAGAAGGTTACTTTCTCATCAAGTTAAGTGAGAAAATATATGCAGCATATAAATTCATTTATATTACCCTAAACACTGATTTCTGTGATTTTCGAGAAAGACAAGTGTATGTTAAAAGCTTGATGCACCTATATATCAAATAATTAGCAAAACTACGCATGACATTAACTCTCTCCAGATGGGTCAAAGGCCATGTCATCGCTTTTGTTGACTCGCATTCAAAATTTTATTGAACTACTATTTTATGAATTTATGTCAATAAGTTTGGTATCAAACTGTAGATTATAATTCAAATTTTAGTATTATACATTATTTAATTTCTTAATTTAAAAGTAAATATTAAAAAACACACCCAGACATCAATTTGTGTGTGTCACGTGGTATGTTGAATGCAGCACTGGTTCAAATTAGATGTTTGTGATGTCAAAATACTAAGTCTGTAGTTTCGTACGAATTAGAAACTTAAATTACCAATATTGACAAGCTAGGATATAAAATAAGAACCTCATATTTTTTTTATTTGGCCCAGCTCACCTCTTTCCATTTTTGGAAATAGTCCTATTTATACACTAACTTCTGTCTATGACATGTGAATTTTTAGCCATTTTCAAGTAATGCGACATCATCTCATTCTTTCGATACAAAACTTGAAGCTGTTAAATTGAGTCTGTAGTCTGCTTGAAATTTCATATCTTTTTAGATATAAATAAATATATATATAAATGTATAATGTTACAAGATTTAAGCTATTTAGTCTAAACATTTGTGTTATAATGTTTAGTCATTCTAGAATGAAAAAAGTACAACTTATGTTTATTTCCCAATTTTGTATGGTGGTTACAAGATCAGTCAAATTGACAGAACCCGTACAGGGATTCGTTAGTGAAAATAACAGATAAAAAGTTTTTCTTAAGAAATGTTTGATAGCCATCTGGACGTTATAAAGATTTTGCACGTGAAATTTGAAATTTTTTGATGTATAAAAGTATTTTTAATCTTAAAACAAAAATTACTTTGCAAGTTGGATAAACAACATGCAAAAAAAAAAAAAAATGCATGAGAAAAACATTGCTTAACAAACCTTAAGACTTAATAAAACAAATCTGATATTTTGTGTAAGCCTTATATGTTTACTGATAATCTACCAAATTTCATGAACAAATGCTTATTAATTTAAAAGTTATAGCATGAAAACTATAACAAGCACAAAATGTTTACGAGGTTGGTCCCATGGACCAAGCCCATGCTGAAAGAATAAAAGACTTCTTTACTATGTGTTACTCTTCACAGCAGTTTATTTGGAAACTATTTATAAGATAAGTTTGTAATAACCTTTTATTATGAATGATTGACATGGGAGTAAAAGTTCAATAACTAGCAATTACTCTTGTCACACAACTACTTTTCAATGACCGCAGTGCATATTGGACAACAGTTGATAGCTTCAACTAACAAGTATAACTAATCAAGAGGTGATAAAATTTATTTTATACAGTAATCAAAAGTACATATCAGTTTAGTCTTGTTCTTAAAACCACAATAAAAATGGTAAAAGCACACATCATTATATATATATATATATATACCTTGGTAACAGAATCTTGCTGAGTGCTATCAAGTATTTGGTTGTCATCCTCATCTGCTTGCACCTGAATTCGTTCCTTCCTGAAGGGCTTGGGCTCGTCCTTTCTCGGTCGTCCTACTCTCCTTAAGCCAGCAAGCTTGGCAAAGTGGCTTCTTCTTTGTCTCCCTCTTCTTCTTCGCCACCAACTGCCAGCATGCCAGCCTTCTCTATCCTTTATAAAGTGTTTAGGCTTATAGTGTTCTTGTAAGTGACGAGCAAATAAAAGGCAGTCAGTAAAGTGTTTACTACATTGTGAGCATGACCATTCCTTTGAATCAGTTTTCACTCCTAAATCTTTTGCATCCAGGTTAGACAATACAGTGGCTGGTTCTGTGTCTATGTCAATCTATAAACATTAAGTAAGATTTATAGGTATGAAGTTAATTAAGCCTTACTGTGGTGATTATATCTTAAATTATACCTTAAAGATGTCACATTATTTTAGTTTAATGTCTGAATTAAAAATAACATTTTACTTTAGTAATTTCAACCTCATCACCTGACCAATCTTCTTCAACAATTTACAAACATCATACCTGAAGTTTGAGACAAATGTTTTTTAATCATACTATTTTAGAGAGTTAACAGAACTTGCTATAGAAATCTGAAATTTCCAACTATATACAAGACACGTTTAAGGTTTTGTTTCTTAAAAAATATACATTTTGTTTTATTAATTTAGAATTTGCATGAACTTACTTGGTTTGTGTCATTTCCTGCCCCATTTCTTTGAAGTGAAACACTTTTCGGCGGACGTCCTCTTTTTCGTTTAGGAAGTGGTTGAGTGACCTGCTGAACATCCGAGTTAAAATTTTCATGTATACCATTTGATGTCTCATTTGACTGATAGACTTGTATTTTATTCTTTGAAGGAGATACTGAATTGGACTGTTGGAGTGCTAATTCTGAACACCAAAAGAATTTATAATCATTATAGAAAGAACTTTTACAAAAAAAAACTCTTTTACAAATTTCACTTAAAAAGGTTGTTCTTATTCTATGTCAAAAAAAAAGAATTTATGTGTAACACCAATCCACAACAGATTATTATAATTTGTAATTGCAAAATAATTAGCAGCAAGTTGCTAAAAAAATAATTTTAAAAACACTATGTGAAAAGGCATACCACAGTACCTAATATCCTCAACACTTCTATGTTAAATATATTTCTTAATTCCATATCAATAGTCTTTGTCATGATATAAGACTGTTTAGTTTAAATGTTATTGACTGATTTGTTTTTGTGGTGAATATTTTATTAGTGTTCAGTTTTTGTAAGACGTTTTGTTAATAATTCATTGATGTTGAGACTATTGAATGTCACGTACGATACACTGATGTGGAGAATATAGAAGGCAGACAGACGATTAATAGACAAAGATATAAATAGTGTGAGATGAGCGAGAAGCAGCAGACAGATAATAGCACAAGTAAAGTTACAAAAGGAAAAGTTAAGTACCATAGAAGTGATAGGCCTAACGTTTAATATGATAGAGTAAGACTAACAGTAGAAATGGAGAAAAGAAAAATAATTTATTCTGGTTCTAAAGTAATTGAACCAGGCTGAGTGCACTTTGACAAACGGAACAGAGGATCTTCAGAAGAAAGAATACCAAACGATTACGGTAACTCATGCCACAATTGTAAGTGAATCACATTCAGAATACTAGTGTGATAGTGATAGAGAAGATAGGTCAGCTTGTCAACTAAAATTCTAAAGTAACTGAATAGGCCTAAGTGGACTTTTGACAAGAATGAGAGAACAACATATATAGTGTTTATGATATGCCTATAATATCTATAGTGTTGAAGAATTTGTTGTACATGTTTAACATATTCCAAATATTTATATCATTTTGAAAACAAGTGAAGTGTGTGCTGTTTGTTTATCGTTGAATTTTATCGCTAACAAGTCACAGACACCTACTGTAGAAGAATCCTAAGCCCAACAACAACACAGTATATATATTATATTTCTTAATAGTAAAAATATATGTTTTAAAAACCTCTTTAATCAATGGTGACTCTAAGTTAAGAAATCAACAAACATTTTTCCAGTTGTGTTGTCCATACATTTCATTTCATACTTTCAGTACATAGAATAACAACATTAGGTTATACTTTTCTTGCTAAGCAGCATGATATTATCGCCATTGTTGAAATACATTGTTATCAAAACGTGCTGGCTTTTACATATATTAGAAGTTGTTAATCTAACTGATTTTTACCAATAATTATTCTATGAATATGCCACAAATTCATTTCATGAATGATCTTAATTTTGATTGGCTAACAAATAAATTTACCAACGTTTGACTGGCTCGACTGCACTTTTCTATCTCTTTGTTGATCAAGCTTGATTTCACAAAATGTATTTACTTCAGTTAGCTAGGAAATGTGAGGTTAGGGTATACTATGGGGTGGGGGTGATAGTACTTGCCATGCCATTTTTGACAGGCTATACGCTAGTGGAAATAATACACTACATTTTGATGACAAATTTATTAACATACATTAGTAATATAGTTTAATTACATTTTGAATGAAACTCTGTAAAAATTATTGTGACTTGCACATTTTGACCTACCAGAGTTCATAGGATTAATGAGAAAGGAGTGAAGTAATCAGTAAATTTACGAGTTCAGTGTCAGAAAAGTTTTCACTGAGACTTATCGCATTTATTAAATTGATTAACAAAGAGACTACACAGATAAGTTTTTTGTTAAACCTACTTATCATTTGTCTTAGAATTTCTGTTAAAACATTGTTTGTGTACCAAGGCTTACAACCACAAGTGAAAGTAGCCTGTAGCAAATATTATGGAAAACTAATTTGTTATTGTTACGGTCTGGACTTGGCATTATTATTACCAAATAATCTAAATAAATCTGCCGAATAGAATATAATATGGTGCAACATTATTTAATTTTCCAGTTAAAATTAGTTTTATTTCAGAGAAGTAGCTTTACAGAAAAAGATTGATGGGATTTATCAATAATATATTTCATTTTATTTAAGTTACACATTTTTGTTAATAATATATTTTAAATTTTTCTAATAAAAACAATTTCAGGAAAAACAAAAATGTTCAATATTTACCTATTTTTTTACCATATGCAGGAGCATAACCAACACACAGTTCTTCTCCTACGTGTATGTCTCTTTGTGCACTAAAGTAAATGTTCTCTCGAAGCTGATACGCGATCAGATTTTGATGGACACCATCTTTCACTGGAGAAACCAGACACATCCAATTACAGTATGTCTCATCTGAAGTGTCTAAAAACACTGAAGTTCCATCTTTATTGAAAACCTATAAAACATTTTATAAAATTATTATCTGACATTAAAATCAATTGAAAGTTTCAAGAAAAATTATTTTAAGAGTATTTATCTACTTTGTTTTGAAACCACAAGAAGGAGTAAGTTAACTGAAGGCTCACTGGCCATTCAACGAAGCCACTCGTTAATATTCCGAAATTATAATAACAGCCTCCTGAAGATCACTGACCATTCAATACATATATATCTCCAAAAAAAAGCTTAAAGAATATCAAACTTTTAGCCTAAATTTTATTAAGCAAATCACTTTAAATCAACAATTATAAAAAAAATTTTACTTTCACACTTCTAATATTCATGTTCCTGTTACATGCAGCAACCATACTATTTCAGAAGTCAAAACAGACAACTCGTAGCAGCTCACCTTAGCCGTTAACATTTGGCATCTTAATCCAATCACCTTAAATTACTTTCATAGAAAAGCCATTAAGCCTATTTCAATAGGTATAATCCTGGTAGCTCTTCTCTTCAGCACTTTTCCCTACAAAACTAATTCTATTAAACCTCAGTATTCTCGTAGTTTTTGTCAGAACTGCCAACTACTTATCTTCAAGCTTTTGTCAATATTACACCTAAAACTCTCTTTGTTTCCTACAACTCCGATATCTTTATTACATGTGTATCAAATGATTTCTGAACGTTAAAACAAACAAGACAATATAGAGCATAAACTTTATTAAAATATTAAAGCAGAAAATTCCCTTCCAAAACCATGTGTTATTTGATTTATTGATTTCTCATCACCCACATTTTCAGTTTCTTCCAGCATGTATTGCTAAATGTTAACATATTAATCATTTTAACATGTTCTAAACTTCTGTCTATATGAATAACTTCTCAACTAAAAGTTTGATGTTTTTATGCTTATAAAGTTAATTATTTTTGAAGTTTTTCACACTGATGATGAAATTAAAAGAAGACTCCAAAATATCTGTAACTAAAGATTCTTTCATGTTACCATGATTTTAATATTTCTTAAAATACTTCTAATTCTACATTAAGAATCAGTTTAATCTCTGTCATCTACTATCTTCACAAGTTTTTGCTAAATAATGAATATTGTATTGTTTTTTGACTGAATTTGTTTTCACTACACTATACATTATTTATCACACATTGTGACAAAAATATTTACTAGTTTTTATCACATGAAATCTAGAGAGAGTTATTTTTAATTAGTTTATTTAGTTTTAGTAGAACAGTTTTGTGAAAATTTGTAGGGAGAAACCGATGGAATGATATCAATCATATTTTCAGCATATTACAGGTTTTGCATTATGTTGTATATGATACATTTTCATGTACAACAGCTTAGGATTACAAAAAAACTAACTTAACTCTAAATAATTGTACCTGAAGATGTCTATCATATTAAACATAGGGTAGTTCAAAAATATATTTAAAAAACCCAAAGAAGCTGGAAATCTCGTGTGAGAATAACTGGTTAGTTGAATGTCATTTTTTAATGAGCCTAACAAATAATCAATTAGCTAATTCCAATAACTACCAGCTCTAATCATGATTATTCCAGAAGATTATATATTGCCAAGATATTACACTCTGAATTTGTCAGGTTTGAAGAACAATTTCCAAAATGCTTATATTCTATTTTGCAATAGAAAATTGTGAGTACACAATAGTTCTTTTATGTGACTTGTTTTTTGTCAAAATGTATTATAAGTTGTTCACTTGGACTTCAAACAATGAGGCCAAAATTAACATATTTGTTATACGTACTCTACTTCTTTACTGATGGGTTTAGGACACTGAAACTTACTCAGTATAGTTCATAATACAAAAAAAGGACGGGTATACAGATAATTAGAAAAATCACAGAAGATAAGATGTGGGATGTATCAGATATTGGTTGAACTGATATGAAAATTGAATTGCACCTTATGGGACACATGGTCTTAGAAAACCCAGTCACAGGCCCCCATGATGTCAAGTATAGCTTTCCCTAATTCTTAACTACTCAACTTAATGACAGTAACTAGTATGCAGCACCTACTGACTCAAAGTCTTTGTTCAACTCTTTAAACAGAAAAATGGGGCTCGATATTAATGATAGCTCAAGACAAGTAAGAAATGCATTTGGATTAATTCCCAATATAAAACACTAGTATTATAGGACTAGTGACTTAATACTGAGCATACATTTTATTTTTGGCCTTTTGATATGCTAATCTACAGTTGATTTGTTGATGGTTTCATGGGTATATTTGTAGCCTGTACCTGACAAATCTTGAAAAAATACATAACTTGTTTTAAAATCTTATCAGTTTAGAGCTCAACCGTAAGTGGAAATAGTTCAATTAGAATTTCAATCCTAATTTTACTTCCTGGCTGCCCAAACAATAACAATTTCATTTTTCAATGACTTGCATCTGATCTCCAATCAATACCTCCAAACTAATGGTATATGCCTGCAATATTTAAACTTTTGTTAAGTACTTAATTATTTTTGTTCATTTTTGGTCTCTTTAGCATAGAAAGGATAGTGATTTGTTGGAAAATGTGCTAAAGCTGTAACGATATGTTTCTACATGATACAATACATATTAAAATACAATATCAGTTTATCATGGCAACAACCAGCAGTTTGATGAATGGATTAGAATATAACAAACTTTATGTTGAAAATGAAGTAGAACATCAGCTGTGCTAGTTTCTAACAAACATTTGTGGACTGTCATCATTGCACTGTTTTGATGAAACTAATTTTATTTGCACATATGCAGTGAGCAACCATGAACAAAGAACGAGCATACCAGTAGTGTTTGTAGATGAGTACCATGTCCTTGGGGGCAGCTGGTACTGACGGGCCCATGTATCATGGGATATACAATGCAGTTGTCATGATATGATGTGTATCATGGAGCAACATGTCATGATGTATCAGTGCATCAGCAAATTGTTATACCACTAAAATGTGCATAACAGAGCTAAAAAAAAATGAGTCACAATCTAAAATACGAGTTATCAATTTAAAATATACACAAGCTTTGCAGGTTTTCTTTTTAAAGCAAGTGAAAATGAGGAGAGTTTTGACTCCTGTGAGAAGATAGATTGTCCGTTTAATTTCTCAAATGGTTTTAGGCTGATAATGGTGACTTGAAACTTTAAAGGTCAGTAACATACACATAAACTTTAATAGCTTATTGATTGTCTATATTTGTGAAAATGTTATTTCACCCTTTTATATAGTCAGTGTTAAAAAGAGATTTTCAAACCTCATATAACACAAAAAGAAGGCTAAATTTAATTGTTTTTGTTTCATAGTATAATGAGAAATTTAACAAAAACTTCAAAGAGTTGGTTAGAACTCTTTCATTCCTTCGTTACTTAAGTTTTACATTAAAAAATTCAATACTTTATTGCCTTATTTTACACGCAACAATAATTTTCAAACTTGCAAGTTATCACTATTAACATAAAAAATTGTTTTTGATGCTTTTACATTCAGATCAGTCAGAATCTTAGCTTTTTGCAATGAAACAGAAGCTCACCTTTAAAATAAAGCTTGGTATTTTTTCCAAGTTAGAAACTCTTGGAGCCTCCACTGGACCAAATTGGGTTTTAGAAATAATACGTTCCTTAGCAATTACTTCTAGATGACCATAATCCCGATCATTCACCTGGAGGTTATGAGGAATCGTCAGCCTCGCTCGTGAAGGAATCTGCTTGTCTTCCACCTTAGCTCCAACACCCAAGAGAGGGCATTCTGAAGTATCATGATAACCCTCACATACATCACACTCTGCAAACAGAGACATCAACAACATCAGTTAGCACTCTCATTCTCAAGCATCTTAATACCATACCTAACTACAAGTCAAAACAAACTCCTCTTTTACAGCTTAAAAAAAACAAGTATGCACAAGATTATATCTGGACTTCAGTATGTCCTTATGCAATTAAGTCAAGAAAACAATATATACATATATATTCAATACAGAAACAAGGCTGTGGGAAAAACCTCAAGATGCTCCCTCATTACTTGACATTTCTTTTTTTTTTTTTATGATCAGAAAAATTTCCTTGGGTAAATTTTAGGGTTGCGTATCTCATCATAGTAGTCAATACGATACATATCTAGATACAGAAGTTTTACCAATGGTTTGTTACAAAATTTGACAGACTTGTCTGTAATTTATTATCTATATTACTAATATTGCTTTAAGTACTCCACACTTTACAGTGCTTTTTCAAATCCTCAAGTTTGATCAACTAACTGGCAGCTGGCAAGAGAAGTAAAATAAAAAAAGTTAATATCTGTTTATCTATTTTATTGTTAATTTATTATGTTACATTGCATGTAATGTTTTTGATAAAAGAAATAAAAACAACATGTAGTACTCAATACTCATCTTCTTTTACTGACTAATTAATTTTTAGCAAAACACTTTATTAGAAATTGTGAGTACAAACGACTTATAATGTTTATTGAAAGCCTGCCAAGTTTCATGAAGATACATGAATCGTTTCATATCAGATGACGTATTGATACAATTGCATCATGGCTTCATGATACAATACTTGTATCGTATCTCTGTATTTAAATTTCAAGTGCTTAAGAATGGAAAGCACTGATGAAGTTATCAAGTTATTCAACCATTCTTTTAGGATTTCACCCAAATCTTTAATGCAAATAATAATGCTCACATCACTTATACATTGAATGTGGTATTGAAGTTCTTTGATATGACAACCAAACATACTTTATAGTGTATTTTCAAATGCACTGTTTTTTTCCCAAATAGTTTATTTTAAAAAAAAGCCTCATTTATATTGGTAGATGACCAGCTTCAATCACTTATGGTGTCTTTAGAGAAATCTGCACTGTTTTTTCCAAAATAGCTTATTTGAAAAAAGCCTCATTTATATCGATAGATAACCAGCTTCAATTACTTATGGTGTCTTTAGAGAAATCTGCACTGTTTTTTCCAAAATAGTTTATTTGAAAAAAGTCTCATTTATATCAATAGATAACCAGCTTCAATTACTCATGGTGTCTTTAGAGAAATCTGCACTGTTTTTTCCAAAATAGTTTATTTGAAAAAAGCCTCATTTATATCGATAGATAACCAGCTTCAATTACTTATGGTGTCTTTAGAGAAATCTGCACTGTTTTTTCCAAAATAGTTTATTTGAAAAAAGCCTCATTTATATCGATAGATAACCAGCTTCAATTACTTATGGTGTCTTTAAAGAAATCTGCACTGTTTTTTCCAAAATAGTTTATTTGAAAAAAGTCTCATTTATATCGATAGATAACCAGTTTCATTTCCTTATGGTGTCTTTAGAGAAATCTGATATATCTTATTCATCTAAAAGCGGGAAATAATTATTTTAATTTTGATTAAAAAGCCTAAATTCAAGCTTATCTTGAAAACAATTACTTGCCATTTCATAATTTATTAGAAGAGGTTGTTAGGTTCTTTAAAGAGGTAATAGACAGGAAATGATTAAATTTCTAGCATTTTTCTTTTTACACAGTAAATAGGTAACAGAGTGAAGCCAGATGACATTTTGAAATCCTTCTTTTTTGCCATTGCTTATCAGCTTAAAAACTTGAGAATGGTAACTTAGCTCCAACCCATAATAATATGGTAAAACGTAGCATATATCACACTAAACCTTTGTAAACTTAAATACCCGAAATGTTTTACTGAAATTATGGATGATTTAACCATTACATTTGTATTCTTTCTTCCTTTATATGTAGTTTTTTGAATTGGTTTTAAATATATTAATATGATTTTTAAATTGCACTAATAATGTACATAATTACCAGATAAAAAACAAACTTATTACCTGTTAGTGTTAATTTAAAACACAATATGCATTACAATTACAAACATTACAATATATACTATAGTGCAGTAGGAAATGGTAATAAATAATGAAAATATTTAGTTAAAAATTTATATAATTAATTAATCTTACATTACGCTGAAATATATAAGCAATACACTTTTGGGTAAATGTTGCTTTTAACAGTTGTATTTTCGCTCTCAAAATTTAAGTTTTGATACCTTTATAGCCTAAACCCAACGTTCACCTTTTATTTTTAAAAATCTTGTTGCGAGTAAACCGTGATGTAACCTGGATCATGTTCTAGGAATATGATGTCGATACTGACATGGTGACATTATTTAACTCTTATAGCTCACATTTTTATTCAGATAAATTCGTAAAATTTTGAAGATAATATGCTGACGCTAACAAGAAATAAACGACCTCGCTTCTTCTAGTCATGAAATCATACAATGTGAATTGCTTTGAAATTACATACCACGTTTTCGTGAGCCTGGCGGATATTTGAGGTCAGTAACGAAAAATGTATTTAAGTTTCTTACCATCATGAACTTCGTCGTTGTAAGGCTTTTCTGACATGTATGTAATTTAGAAATATATCTTCTTCTTCTGGAAAACAAAAGAATATATATGCTACTATTTTTTCACAAATTAATTATAATTTATCATAATATTAATAATATATCACACAGATGACAGCAAAATACTGTATAAACATAATAAAGTTAAAGTTGTTTACTATTAGTATTACTAATCAAACTTCCTGCACCCTACCTTTGTCTTAGTCTAATTTTCTAAATATATCAAACGTTACGTTAATAACAAAGGGTAAAATTTTGCAAACTTGAAATTTATTAATTCCCACTCTGAATTTTGCAAGTATGTTAGGAACGTGTATAAGTAGTATATCATTTACCTACTTATCTTTAAGCACTGTGGTTATAGCTAAAACCTGAACATGGCGTCCATCATACAACGGCACAACGATAAGTCGCCGTACGTCGACTTCTCCCTTTATTTTACAGCGCATGCGTATTACAGAAATAACAAAAATGGTAAAAAGCTGGTGCTTATTTTCAAATTACTTCAAACATGTCTCCAGCACATTACTTATATGTCCTAAAAATACAACAGGTCCATTTATGTATTCCCTAAGTTATGTTTGAATGCAACACAGATTTAAGTAGCCACCTTTGTCAAGTATGTTTGTCGAACTTTGACGAAAAACTACATTAAAAAAACATATTGGTATTAGTTATCAGAAAACACTGAACCAAATTTATCGATTTTACTGTATTTTATATAGTAAAAAAGGTAACTGTCCAAGTAAAAATCATCTTAAAATTACATACTGCTTTATTAGATGTGTTTGATAGCATTCTTGTTCAACTTGATTAAACACAGCCAGTATATCGGTTGTAACAATAAAACGTACAAAACGTCTATCAACTCAAATGTTATGCACTGTCATGAGCCCATCCTATCTAGTATCTGAAATACTTCTTTTGGGTTATACTAAGTGTGTAAAAAAACAACAATTAGCATCATTTCATAAACCTGATTAACCACCAAGATACCACATCAATTAGATATTTGGTAAACTGTTGTTGTTGTTCTTTTTTTTTTCTTTTTTTTTTATTTTTTTTGTTATCATACAGTCTACTAAATCATGCAAGTATTAGAGATTAAATTTTATTTATTGATATATTTTAAACAATGACTGATGAGAGCTGTTAGTGTTATGTTATCCTCCGCTTAAACGACTTTGTGTGCTCCAGTTTAATGCAACGGCTACGTAAATAAGCTGCATTTGATGTGTTTTCAGATTCGCTGTTGTGGAAGATGGAAGAGATCGGACACACTTGATATACGTGAAGAAAATTCTCCTAAACAACTACCAAGAACAACTCAGTTCAATCCTATTAAAACTCAAGCTGTATGCTAACTAATCCATGTTCTGTAACTTTTCTATATATTACACACACAAACGAAGATCCAGGGGACCAGGATCCCACTTTCACAATGCAAAAAAAAAAAAAAAAATTAAAACAGAAATCAATAGAAAAATTGAGATGCAAGTGATTGAAATATTGTTGATTCGTATTCTTGGATAATTTAAGCTCGTATTCTTATATGGAAAGGGGTCTGGACCGTCTATAATGTGTAAAGGGTTGAAGATAGATGCAAAACATCTTTTCTTCCAAACTATTATGATCGATGAAAAACCCACCACAAGTTTTGAAGGAGCCCCTTTCGTTGGTATGACTATCAAACTTCCATCCCACTATCTAGTCCAACAATAAATAGCGCTTGATATAAGTTGACTCTGGAGGTCGCTTCAAGATCCAAAGTTTAGCAGTCAGTTTCGCGAGTGAAGACAAAGATGTTCTCTACGGTATCAGAAAGTATTGGCGATTTGGATTTCTTATTGATCATTTTCAGATGGAAATGACTGGCAAAAACCCAATGGAAAATGTCAGGAATTGGCCAAACACTATTTCAAACTTCAAAAAGACCTTAGCTTCTCAGAGAAGGGAAGCCCTCTTTTAGATTTTACTCCCTTGGGTGTCTCTCTGATATCCATTCCTTTGAACCCTCTCCCCTTTTTTAACTCCTTGATCTGCCCTTGACCAATTTCTAAGTATTCTCAATATTTCTTGATCTAATTTTCGAATTAATTTCTTATTTTGTAAAAAATTACAAAGAATATTTACACTATAGTGTAAAAAATAATTATGTATCTAAGATACTTCACTACCATTACTACAACAGACCAAACATTGTAAAGACTTATAAAAGTTCGTTTTGTTTGTTGTAGAATCAAATCAAAGTATTATCATAAACTTGTACTAGTGAAAATGAGAATTATTGCTTTTACATATTGTTGTAAGCTATATTTTCAATTTTATAATTGAGTTGTTTGCTAGAGGAAACTGCTAATCGTAATAATGACGCTAAATGTAAGAAAGTACATAAAAGTAGTCTTAGAATACTTAAACAGTTCTTGACGATGAAACAGAGTACATTATACATACGCATCACCAGTGTGTGAAAATCCAATAAATGTTTTAATTCAGTGTTAAACAGTAAGAATTGTTGTCTCTATTTATCGATTAGAAAGGAAATTCTGTAATTTTTTTGCATTTATAAGTTAAGCATGGGTACCATTACTCTGTTCCAACGGTCTTTGTGAGCTCAGGTATACAGTACAAGTCAACGTAATCTGTAGAAACGTTATATAAGAAATAAACTAATTTCTTATCGTCACTTGGGCTGGATCTCACATTATTCTTTTTAAATAATCTAAAGAAATCAACTTAATGTTAGAACAACATTACAATAATATGTTCAAACCATGTCATCATTTTTTTGTTGTCAAAGAGATGTCTTTGAAGAACAGTATTTTAATAATTCCTCCTTGTTTATTTCATCACGTTATAAAAAATATTATTGTTATTTTTACATGCTTCTAATTTTGAATTCGAAATGGACAAATTAAAAGAAATATATAAAATTCGCAGTTTACATGATTTTTATCATAAGTTTTTAGGCCTGTTGTTTGTTTTAGAGCAAAGCTACATTGGACATTCTACTGTGTTCACCGCGGAAAATCTAACCCTGGTTTTGGCGTTGTAATTTCGTAGACTTGCCGCTGTCCATTGGGGGACTTTTAGGCCTTTTGGTTTCTAATGCTTCTGTAGCTTC